ACATCTCACTGTGGAATTTTTATGGTCTCTTCATCTCCTGGCTGTCTCTCTCAGAGGTGATGGGTTCCGGCCATCTGGGTTTCATCTCTCCATTGTATCATGTGTAGGTTATACAAATTCGATATAAGATTAAATATATTCAGGTATATATTCAAGAAGGATTTCTTTATCGGTCTCCCCCCTCCCCTTTTCTTCTTTCATTGAAGAAAGGAAAAGATACACGGATCTGACAGAAACACCTTCATCTTCAGAAAAGGGCCAGGATGACTGTCAAGCCCGAAATTGACATGTGCATGGCCATTTTATTTAGCCATATCTTATATTCTTTTTCTTCCTTTCTCTTTGCTGGTTAGGGAGCGGGGAGGGTTTTGGGCTTGCCACATTCCTGAGGTGGGAGGAGATAGAGAGGATTGTTTAGGCTGGGTCAGTGAGGGCGAACCTTTTTGTTGTGGTGTGCCAAAAGCGCATGTGTGCTGGCACGCACAATGCAATGCACCCCTGAGCATGCACGTGCAATACTCCCGCCCCGCCCTCTTACCTGCATTGCGCATGCATGCACCTCCCAGCTGATTTTCATCCCGTTTGAGGCCATTTTCGTCCTCCCAGAGGCTTGAGGGAAACCTCTGCAGCCTCGGGAGGCCGAAAAACAGGCACTTCCGCCGGAAGGCCTCTGGAGCCCATTTGAGGGCTTTTTCGCCCTCCTGGAGGTTCGAGGGAAGCCTCGGGAGCCTCGGGAGGCTGAAAACGGGCCCGTTTCGATAAAAATGGCCTCAAACGGGCCAAAAATCAGCTGGGAGACACGCGCAGGGGTGGGATTCTACCAGTTCGTACCTATTTGCTAGAGCCGGTTGTTACCATTCTAAGCAGTTCGGAGAACCGGTTGTTCGAAGAAATTACTGGCCTAATCCTGTAAGGAAGGCAGGAAGGAAACATTCTGGTGTTGCTTACAGAAACTGCCTCTCCGTTAACCCTTTTTACATTCTTGGCAGGACTAGACTTCCTGTCTCAGGAACTTCTCTGGAGTTTTTTCCCCCTCCTTTGCTGGTACTTTGCTTGTGTGGAGTGACCATTCAAAGTTACAATGGCACTGAAAAAAGTGACTTATGACCATTTTTCACACTTACGACTGTTGCAGCACCCCACAGTCATGAGAGGCCAGGCGAGGAGATGCGTGCCTCGATGTGAGTGATATTGAGTTGGCCACGCCCAGCCAATAACATGACCACCAAGCCATGTCCACCCAGTCACATGACCACCAAGCCACGCCCACCACCTAAGCCACACCCACAGAACCGTTTGTTAAAAATTTTGAATCCCACCCCTGGGCGCGCGTATGCACAGTGCAGGTACGTTTGGCTGGGGCTTGCGTGCCCAGAGAAATGGCTTTGCATGGCATCTGTGGCACGCTTGCCATAGGTTTGCCATCACGGGGCTAAGTGTTTTTTTCCTTCCCGTGGGAACAGAAATTGACTCTGCTGAGACCTGGAGGTGGAGATTGATGACATCAGGCAATGGTGATTTACTTCTATTGGGGAATGTGACTTTTGGGGGCTGTTTCTAATTTCCAATATTATGTGGTGTAATTTCAGGTTGTGTCAGATCTGGAATTACAACAGACTTTGCCAATTCGATGCTTTCCTAAAAAAAAGAAATTGCTTTGGAAGATGGACTTTGCTCTTTTCTTCCTAAATGGATTTTATCATTTGGAAACCTGACAATGACAATCATATTTTGTGTGCCTGTTATGGCTTTTCTGTATCAGGAAGCATTGGGCAGAGTTATCCTTGACTTATGACTAAAATTGGGACCAGGAGCACTGGGTTAGTTAAATAAGTCATGCCCAATTTGACGGCCATTTTTGCCATGGCTATTAAGCGAATCATGTGGTTGCTAAGGGATTCTGGCTTCTCACGGTGACTTAGCTTTTCAGAAGCAAGCTGGGAAGTTGCAGATTGCAATAACGTAATCCTGGGATGTTGCAGCCATCATAAATACGCACCAGTTGCCAAGCGCCCAAATTTTGATCATGTGATTGTGGAGATTCTGCAACGGTCCTAACTGTGAGAACCAGTCATAAGTCTCTTTTATTCAGCCCCATCATAACTTTGAACAATTACTAAAGAAATGACTGTAACATAAGACTAGTTGATCTTGAAGCTGGACAACTGTAACTTGTGAACGAAGGCAATTGTATTTGTTGCAGGATCCAATCTGAGTTGGTAACTGGGACCAAAGGTTTATTCTTCCAAGCTTTTGGGCTCATGCTAGAGTCCATCATCAGGAAACTTCTTTCTCTCTCCAGAATATGTGCACTGGGCTGTTCTATGCATTGTATTTATATGGTGCCTGGTTGTGTTGTTAATTAGTTGTTAATCAGGATGTTAATGGCTGGCTATTAAGTCATTGATTGTTGTTTCCAGTGGTGGGATTCAAAACATTTTATTACTGGTTCTGTGGCCATGGCTTGGTGGGCATGGCAGGGGAAGGATCCTGCAAAATCCCCATTCCCTCCCCACCCCACTAACCTGCTTTACAGCTCCATTCTCCTGTGCAGGGCAACCAAAGAAGACCCAGCCGATCAGCTGGGACTCAATGGGAGGCAGAGAATAGATGGGGTTGGTGGGCCAGTCAGAGGCGGTATTTGCCGGTTCTCTGAACTACTCAAAATTTCCACTACTGGTTCTCCAGAACTGGTCAGAACCTGCTGAATACCACCTCTGGTTGTTTCCTTGTGTAGCTGCACCTTTGGCTTCTAAGTTATCTGATAAGTTGGTGGTAAATCAGCATTTTGTTGACTGACAAGGAGTCCATTTTCCAGGCTTCAATCATTTCTCTGTCAATTTTTGTCCCTGCTGGGCCAACAATCGTAGTAGCTGCAAAATTGAACACATGTCCTTGTTGATTGTTGTGTGAGACTACCAATGAGTTGTTTGGGTCTCCTCATTTAACCATTCACTTGTGTTCTTGCATTGCAACTTGCTCTACACAGAGCTACCCTTGACGACCACTTGCCTCCACAAGTGACATCAAGCTGGCCACACCCCCTGGCCACCCACACACACACCGGCCCTCCTAAGGTCAAATACAAATCCTGATGCAGACCTCAAGGAAATCAAGTTTGACACCCCTGGCTTAGAGGCCACGCACAAAAATAAAGTTAAATAAAATCATGAACTTAGAGAAAGAAAAGTTGCATGCATCGGTGGAACGACAAGCGTTATTTTGGTTGCTAATTTGGGGCCTGCTGATGTCTAAAGCCAACACAGGTTTACTGGATCTCTTTTACTTAGCTAGCCACACACACACACACACACACACACACACACACACACACACACACGCTGCCAGCCACGTACAAAACCAGCTCATTGTTAATGGACAATAGGAGTGTTTAGTTCCAGCAGCAGAAGGAGATGAGAGAGACCAACAGATTACATTGGAGCCTGGGCTTCACCAAGGCTGGCTATGCAATGCAATGCCTGGATCTTGGCTGATGGGTTGGCTTTGGCTGGTTGCAACCATGGTGAGCTTGTCCGGTTATCCAGCATTCCTGGAGGCAGCTCCTGAGTTTTCAGGTAAGTTTCTGAGATGATGTGCTAAAACTGGGAGGAAGGAGGATCCAGGTTTAACATTGGCAGTTGCTATTTTTTGGCTGACTGTGGCTGAAGATGAGAGATGATAACTTCTAACTCAAGTCCTTAAATATCTGTTATTCCTGCAGGGAAAACTGCAGGAAATCAAAAGAAAGCAAGGTCCTTTTTAGAAGAATAGTGGCAATGACAAATAAAGGACCTCTCTCTCTCTCTCTCTCTGTGTGTGTGTGTGTGTGTGTGTGTGTGTGTGTGTCCATTCCCATTCCCTGTCAGAGCTGAAGAAGCTTCTTGGATGAGAAGAGAAACATCTTCAAAAGAAAATAACAACAAGAAAGTCCAGTTGCCTCCTGAAAAAGCACCTTTGGGACGACTGTGTGTGCGCGTGTGTTTCTTTTTTTGACTCCAAACTTTAAAAAAAACCCAGGAAAAATTTTGGTTGTCAGAATAACACAATTGGAAGGTACTTTGGAGGTCTTCTAGTCCAATGCCTTGCTTAAGAAGCAAACCCTATATCATTTCACACAAACGGTTGTCCAGTCTCTTCTGAAGTTGCACTCACAACTTCTGGAGGGAAGTTGTTCCATGGATTTAATTGTTCTCACTGTCAGGAAATTTCTCCTTAGCTCTAGATTTTCTCTCTTTGATTAGTTTCCAGCCATATATATATATATATTTAAATTCTGCCTTCTGGTGCTTTTTATTGTCCATTGACTTGAATTCATACCAGCCTAAATAGAAATCTTTATTTCCTATTTTACAGTCACTAGCCAACCGTGCTTGCATTGCTTCTATTTGTTTATCTTTCTCTGTGTTATATTGTCAGATCTAGGGTGCTTCACTATAAATTGGAAATAGCATTTGTAGGGCTTGAACCAAGCTCACAACTTACGGCTGTGTTATTAAAACCGTAAAAAAAAAAAAAAAGAAGAAGCAGTTTAGAAAATGACCTTCCTGCAATTAAAAATGCAAAGCTATACGAGGGTCTGTCAGGGCAGTAAGTGATAACTTCATCACAAATGTTCAATGCTGTCCATCTGGGTCCCCCCCCCCCCAGTGATTTAACGCCAATCCTGCCATATTTAATAGTAAATTTGTGCTGGAACAGACTGCTAATGAAATCCCACATAGCGCTGGCTGTTTCTGTAGGGCGGCTTGAAAAGTGTGACGGAAGCCTTCAGAACCTTCTGGGATTGAGAAAGATGGGAATGCTAGGGTTGTCTGGCTAGACCAAGGGTCGCCAACCTTTTGGACCTCAGGGACCACCAAACTCATAATTTTAAATCCTGCGGACCAAGAGACCCTGGGAAAATCCCCCCAAAAAGTCCGCAGGAAAATTCCCCACCCCGTTTTCCTACCGATCGATCGTTCTTTATTTGGGATTGCAGGATACCGTCTCCAGCTCCATTCTCAGGGCGGGGAGAGAGAGAGAGACTTTTGGCTTCGTGCAAGGAAAGCAGCAGAAGCAGCAGAAGTCTTTCTTTCTCTCCCCCAAATTCTGCCAGAAATGAGTCTTTGTGAAACTTGTCACACCGGCACAGCCTCTTGGGGCAGGAGGCCTTGCAGGGTCCCAAAGACTCATCTCTGGCGGAGTTTGGGGGAGAGAAAGAAATACTTTTGCTGCTTTCCTTGCGTGCAGCCAAAAGCAGAAGAAGAAAGAAGCGGAAAGAAGCAGCCCGGTGGCCAGGCCAGGCGCGTGGGGTGAGTGGGGCAAGTTCCCCTCCTCCGCCCTTCCCCCCCTCCCCTCACTACCTCTGGATTCCAATTCCCAGAATTTCCCACCCAGCATGGCTAGCTGTGGAATTCTGGGAGCTGAAGTCCACAAATCTTAAAGTTGCCAAGCATGGAGACTCCTGGTCTAAAGTCCAGCACAAGTAAGATTTTCATGGTTTCTGATGTCTGCAACTTTCCTCTTCCACAAGGTTATCTGAGGAAGGTTTTGAAGAACCACACTATCCATGCCTGCGATGGGGGGCAACTAACAATACTTTGCCCCCACAAGACCTCCGTTACCATCCTGTCTGCTTTCTATGGGCGAAGGGTACCCAGCCCAAACCTCTGTCCAGCCTCAGGAGAAATCTCTTTGGAAGAAGACATCAATTGCTCGTCTGCAACAGCCCACCAGGTAAGACATTCTAACAGTGCAAAAGAGTGTTTTTCTGTAGAGGCATTCTGTCCTCGACTTAAATAGAAATAGAATAGAAAATAAAATTCTTTTATTGGCCAAGTGTGATTGGACACACAAGGAATTTGTCTTGGTGCAAATGCTCTAAGTGTACATAAAAAGAAAAGGTACATTCGTCAAGAGTCAAGAATTATAAGGGACAACACTTAATAATAGTCATAGGGTACAATAAGCAATCCAATCATACTAGGAAACAGCCAGTATAAATCGTAAGGATACAAGCGACAAAGTTACAGTCCTACAGTCACAAGTGGGAGGGGATGTGTGATAAGGAGTGATGAGAAGATTAAGAGTAATGCAGACTTTGTAAATAGTTGGACAGTGTTGAGGGAGTTATTTGTTTAGCAGAGGGATGGCGTTCTGGAAAAAACTGTCCTTGTGTCTAGTTGTTCTGTGTCCAGTGCCCTATAGCGTTGTTTTGAGGGTAGGAGTTGAAAAAGTTAATGTCCGGGATGTGAGGGGTCTGCAGATATTTTCACAGCCCTCTTGTGGACTTATGACCACAACGGAGTGGTTCATAGCTAAGCAATTGTTGACTGGGTTGTGCCCCTTTTATGACCCTTTTGGGCTGTTAAGAGAATTATTGCAGTTGTTAAGGGAACCATTTATCTTCCTAGCATTGAGTGAAAATTGGGCTGTTGGTCTGAGCTTGGCAGTTTTTGGCTGCAAACCTTTCGTCACCATTTGAGGAGACATCGTCAGGGCGCTTTGGGTTGTGCTCGTCTGTCCACAGATGAGCCCAATCCAAAACGCACTGATGAAGTCTCCTCGAATGGTGACGAAAGGTTTGCAAACAAACTGCTGCCGAAAGCTACAGCCACCCCTCTCCTAGAAAAATGAAACATTCTAGGAAATATTAAAAAGGTAGAATATTATATTTTCCCTAAAGGAGAAATATGTTTCTAAAGACATAAACTCAGAGCCTCAGCTCCCTGCCCCCCCCTCCCAGCAGATATTTTGGTGCCAACCTATCTGCAAGACAAAAGACCTTCACCCTCAGGACATGATAGGATTAGCCCTTGGTCAAGATCCAATCCAAGACAAAGCCATTAAGCCATCATAGGAATTGTCCAATACCCTTTCGGAACACAACCCTCTTCATTACATCATCACCCAGGCAAGATTCAACCAAGCCTGGGACTCAAGACAACCTACAAAGTTACCCCTGCATGGCCCCATGGGAGTCTGTCAACCAATCAGAATACATTTCTTTCACAGGGACAAGAAGCAAGTTCAAAACCCAAGAGAGGGTCTCTCTCCCTCCCCCTCTCCCCCTCTCCCTCCCTCCCTCCCTCTCTCTCTCTCCCCCATGTGCTTGATTGCCCAGGACCTCAAACCATGTGGCCCTCTCCACCATTAAACCATCTTTCCAAACAACCTCCTCCATGTGTCCAGTGTCTTTCTCCCCACGTGGAACTGAACCCAAATGGACATTTCTTCCGACACTGTCAAGCTCGGCACTCAGACCAACAGCCCAACTACCAACCCGAGTTACTTATATTCAAATACATTAAGTGAAAATGCTAGGAAGAGAGAGAGAGAAACTCATCTCCCTACCTTTTTTTAAAAAAAGCCGTTTTCCTCTTTTAAGTGTGGAATCATTAAGCAAATAAACAGAATCAATAACAATAAACAAATGAACAGAAATGAAGGGAGCATCAGAAAAATAAAGTCTTCTATGCTGTAGGACCCACGCTTTCTTTGAGGGCAAAGGAAGAGCAACAGAGAATGAGAAAAAGCTGTTCTGGTGTCAGCCTTCTCAACATGAGGAACCTCAGTTAAATGAAACCCCTGCCAGCCACAGCTAGAACCTATCTCTAAGTGTGACAACTAGGGCGTTGACAAGAGGGCATATTCCCTCCTTTGGTTGTTGAGTTGTGTGAGCCAAGGAGAGAAATTCCCAGTGAGGAGGTGTCGGAAAAGACAGATTGCCATCTAGCGGCTAGCAAAGCAACACACTTGGGAACTGCCCAAAGGCTTGGCTGATGTTGAGATTTCTCCTGTAGATGGCTTAAAAGACCTGGGAAGGAATGGGCTGGAAAAATGTTTTCCTGCTTTTTCACACAAAGAGCCAAACTAGACTTAGGGCATAAAAGGAAACCAGGCCACCAAAGAACAAGGTGGCTGGACACCATGAAAGTTGACACCAGCCAGAGCATAAAACAACTCAAAGAAGTAGTGCAAGATCAAAAGATGTGGAGAGATCTGGCCCACAGAATCACCAAGAGTCAGACGTGACAGAATGGACAATCAGTTAGGGCACAATCGAGACAGCTCTTCTAAGGTGTTTTCTCCACCATCTATGAAATGACACAAAAGTTTGCTGGCGTAATTTCACAGGTGGGTATTTAGCAGGTTCTGACCAGTTCTGGAGAACCAGTAGCAGAAACTTTGAGTAGTTTGGAGAACCGGCAAATGCCACCTCTGACTGGCCCCGCCCCTACCTATTCTCTGCCTCCCATTGAGTCCCAGCTGATCGGCTGGGTCTTCTTTGGTTGCCCTGCATAGGAGAACGGAGCTGGAAAGCAGCTTAGTGGGGTGTGGAAGGAATGGGGATTTTGCAATATCCTTCTCCTGCCTTGCCCACCAAGCCACGCCCACAGAACCGGTAGTAAAAAATTTTTACATCCCACCACTGTAATTTGCTCTGGGTAATATGGCCAGCAAATGTTATTGTTTTAAGCGATTTAACCATTGATGGCTGTTCCTGCTTGGGGAAAAGCTAACTCATCTCTCAAAGATGAGCTGGGGAGCAGGTGGCTTTGATCAGAACCTTCAAATATAAGTCCTCCTGCTTGAGCAACCTACTTGCCAGACCTTCATAACCACAGATGTTCCCCAAGGCAGACACTTGGTTAGTCCAAAAGTGGGTGTGGTGGTCCCCAAAGCATCTTTCCCTTCTTTGGTACATGTTCCTGCAAGAGTATGAAGGATACATCCCTTTACATCTAGGGTCTACCAGTTTCTCCAGCAATCTTGGAATTGCTCATCTTCTTCTCCTGGTGTCAGCACCACAAACAATTGTATGACTTGGTGAAGACATTTGGCAACCTGGTCTATGTTAGTGTGGGGTTGGCACACACTAAAAATCCCTTAAAAGCATGTATTGGTGTGACTTTCAAACTGGGAGATGACTGGGGAGATCGGGGCATGTCTTGGGATGCTATAAAAAGGACTCTGTATGAGGACATCAGGCTTCTACCTCCATGGATCCACAAGGGTGTAAACAACACTCTTGTTTACTTGGTCCATAGGAAAATTCAAGACTTTCAGTCACTTGGTGCATTGCATTTGTAAGTGAGATTTCTCTACTTCACTTAATACCTATTAGGAGTTTCAAGACAGGAATGAAAGAAGCTGAGAAGCAGCAAAGTGGAAACATCAACCCTGCTTTTTCTATCCTGCCTATCACCAGAATTCCCCGTCAACAGCCCTAAATTAACTGAGAAAGAGAAAGCTTACAAACTGCAAATTCTAGAGAAGGTCGAGATGCGGAGAACCTATGCCCTTCTAAGGACTATTTATGGTCTTTCTAAATTAGATATGGCTACACTTATTGCTTGTCCTTTTCCACCAGAAAATGATGGATGAGTGTCAGGACCACCGATGGTGCCATTTCCTTGTCCACAGCCGAGTGTTTGGGCCCGATCCATGCCCAGGAACACACAAATATTTGTTGGTTTCCTACAAATGCAGACCTGGTAAGTGACTTCAGCAAGGCATCTGTGTGGGAAAGGAGAAGATATGTAGCTCTAGTAGTTCTGAAGAGTTGCAGTAGGTCATCCAAATCTGCTGTAACATCATGGGTAGAAACCAAAAGTTTCAATCTATCTGGAGGGCTTTGGGAAAAGGGTCGGCGAAAGCTGGTGATGCAGATAAGAGACTTCTTAGAGAAAGGTTGAATAACTCTAGGATTCTTCAGAGAACCCTCAATAGAGAGAATCCTTTGTCCACATAACAAAGAAGTGGCAGGGCCTTGTTTGCTTCCCACTAGGTTAATCTAAGAGAGCCAGTTTGGTGTTGTGGTTAAGGCAGGGGTGTCAAACTCGATTTCATCGAGGGCCGCATCAGGGTTGTGTTTGATCTCCAAGACAAGAGACTGTGCAGTTGTGAACTGGATGGGGAGTATTTTCTCACGTCATTATAGTTGTGCTTTTAAAGTTGTAGCAATGTTTCGGCAGAATCTCATCTGCCATCATCAGGCTTGTGTATTGGGTTCGTCTGAACCCAATACACAAGCCTGATGGTGGCAGATGAGATTCTGTCGAAACGTTGCTACAACTTTAAAAGCACAACTATAATGACGTGGGAAAATACCCGAACAAAGCTGAATACCATACATGTAAGTACCCGCAAAAACTTAAGAAAACACACACACACACACACACACACACACGTATATGTATATGTATATGTATATGTATATGTATATGTATGTATGTATATATATATTCTTCCCTCCCTGGAGAGAACTGGGTTTGATTGGATCTCACAAAGATTTTCTTTGGGTTAGGCCTTACAAATTATCAGCTCCTATCTGCCTTACCAGATAGACCAGACAGGAAACAAGACCAAATAAGTTAATTCCACTTTATTATAAAGCAATTTATATATATATATAAAAGCGTGCCCTTCCCGAGCTCCCATTTCGCTGGCAGAGGCACTGTAGCAATGATGGGATTCAATTTTCTTTACTACCAGTTCTTGGACATGGCTTGGTGGGCGTGGCAGGGGAAGGATACTGTAAAATCTCCAAGTCAGAGGTGGTATTTGCCAGTTCTCCGAACTACTCAACATTTCCGCTACCAGTTTCTCCAGAACTGCTCAGAACCTGCTGAATACCATCTCTGCACTGTGGGCCAGTCCTTCACTGTTTCCAGGGTGGGTCTGTGGGCCAGATCTAAGCATCCTGTGGGCCAGATCCAGCCACCAGGCTTTGAGTTTGACACCCCTGTGACATTAGTCTAAAAACAGTGAGACCTTGAGTTCTAGTCCTGCTTTAGGCACCAGTTGGGTGACCTTGGGCCAGTCACTCTTTCTCAGCACTAGCTGAGATAATGCTCAACCACTTCTGAAAAATCTTGCCAAGAAAACAGGGACTTGTCCAGTCTCCAAGAATCAGACATGAATGAATGAATGAGAAAGAAAGAAAGAAAAAGTTTATATGATCACCTGTTGAATTTCCGTTGAAAATATGACATCTAAAATTAGAAGAGGTGATTTTGAAGCTTAATCTGAAAAACCTATAACTGCAAACAAACCCAGTTGATTAAAATCTTGGAGCTAAATCATATTAAATTGTAGTTTGACTAACTGTGGTCATTGAATTATTGCATAAAACACGATTGTCCGGGTCTATGCAATACATTATCCAGCACTTACAATCATTAATGGTTAACACCAGCTCAAAAGAATTCATTTTCAGATTTAGCCTGTTGTTCTGGGAGTCAAACTTGTACTGATAGTCCTTTCCTTATCTCAAATATGGCCTTCATAAAAGGAAGAGAGATTTTAAAATATCACGGAGCAAGGAGTGGGTAGAGATTGATGAGGAATGACTGTGTTTCATTTTCAGCCAATTATCGTCTCAAGACCGTATGTGAAAATGACAAGATGAGGCTACAATGTCGGAGCAACTCAGTTCTAGCAATTTATTCTTCGATTTATGGGCGACCTTTGCGAGGAAAGCTGGAGTGTAATTCTATGAATGGGACAGAGCCTGAAATAGGTACATGATAACTCAGCCTCTGCTAAGACAATCCTAAGCATTAACTACACTTGGTGAGTCTATGGGCCTTTCCACATCAGGATTTGGTGCTAGCTTGAAGGTTGCTCTGAATTTCCATCATGGCAACTGGTTGGAGAAGTTTCCCCCATTGCATCAAATCCTCTGACAACATCCCAGGTCCTGAAATGGGAAGGGTAGCTGGTTGGCTTTGTAGCTTCCTTTAAGCAGCCTGGTCCAAGCAAACAAAGCTGAAATTGACCAGAGTTCTATCACAGATCATACGGTGGTTTGTAAAACGGCACACTACTGTTTTTCCCCCTTCTTTTCATTCCCTCCCCTTTGAGTTGGAGATGAAGGAACCTTTGTTGTTGTTGAACCAGTTGTGATGGATTTCAGCCTTTTGAAATGCTGAGGCTTAGAGAGGGAAAGTGATGGTGTACAGGTGTTATAAGGGAAACAGGTCCCTTTAAGTATCGCCTCCTTCAGACATGCACTCTGGTTCATCTTCCCTGTTGGATAATTCTTCTATCCTTCTGCAAGAGTTTAAAGACCTGGCTCTGCAGGTTGGCCTGAGGACCAAATGGGGCAGTTTGGAATTCATTGTTGGAATGTATTTTTGTGCAACAACTACAGTAGTATTCAGCCAGTAGATGGCAGTGTTTACAAGTTTGGATCTATGGAATATACTCTGTTTTTTGTTCTGAGTTACAGAAGAACAGTTAAGCAGTAAAGCACATGGTGACTGCATTTTATTTGGTCTATAGTGCTATATATAAATGGAATTTCTAACATGGGTTGATGGCATATTCCACCTACCCTCCCATTTGCTTTCTGCTCTCCACCCATCCATCTTCTTGATTATCATATGCATGTATTTATTCTAATTCTGTTCCTTTGTCGTAGTTCTTTTACTGTTATATTATTGTACTTCTGTTCTGCTTACACTCCTTTCATTTTTCTTCCTTTTTATTATTGTAAACCACCTAAAGTAGTCTCACAGCAAGATAGGCAGCAAATAAATGTAATAAACAAACAAACCAATAAATAAACAACCAACCTACCAACTGGTGGATGCAGTTAGTTCTGAGCTAAGGCTTCATTACTGGACACAAAAAGTCAACAATTGGTGTAGCTGGACAACTGCCAAGATGAACACTCTAGGAAGGGTTGATGCCAACCTCTCATGACCTTGACTTGCACTCCTTTTGTTGCCTGTTTGTTGCCAGCTCAGCTCTGGCCCTTTCCCCATTTATAGTACTGACTCTCCATCCAGCAGAAACTAACATTGGCATGAAATTCGCTCTCCACTTAGCCAACCCTCTTCTCCCTTGATGGCTTATTTCAGTTGAAAGGTGGACAAGAGAGATGCTGAGGTCAAAAATAATACACTTCACAATGACACTGCTGTGTTGTAAGGCTAACATTTAAGGAGCTTGGGCACTGTCCAGGAATGCTTTTCTAGAACAGGGTTCCATTCAAACAATTCTGCAGGGTTCCCAGAGAGACGAAGGACAAAAAGGAGAAAAATGCACGGAGGACATCCATTGTTAAAAAGGGTGAATTTGTTCTCCAGTAAAAAATAATAAAATAAAATAAAATAAAATAAAATAAAATAAAATAAAATAAAATAAAATAAAATAAAATAAAATAATAAAATAAAATAAAATAATAATAAAATAAAATAAAATAAA